TTGCAAGAGAAAAAAGATGCTTAATGGCAACAACAAATACGTTTCTAGCAAGAGCAAGGATGGAAAAGATACAGAGGGTAAAGTATTTAGTACTCAAGCTTTATCTCCCTTCTGTCCCAAACTACCCCCACTAAAAAGATATCAGCTTGAAGGGTCTTCAGGCTCTAAAATGTAAAATAACATGATGGAGTTAAAATCTGAGAGACAGTTAACTGATTTAAAGGAGTCTCAAGTCTCCACAACCAAACGAATTACATCCTGGGTGCTGAAAAAACTTGCAGATACGAATTCAGAAACACTGTAAAAATGAAGGGTTCTGAAAGAGTGGAAATTACAACTTGCCCAGTTTTTAAAGTTTAAAAAACTTATGTCCTAGGAGCTACTAACAAATTTACTTGACTCTAGGAACAAGATCCTCAGAAGCCAGGATAAAGCACTATGCGTTCAATAAACGAATTGATTATCTACCCTAGTAATGAGATACAAACCCTTGACCTTAAGCCCTCGGTCTACTGAGAAACATTTGTATAAACAGTTTGATAAGCCCTCTAAAGTGGTATGAGTGACAATGCAGTGCATATACAAGAGGGAATAGCTGATACCAAGCTCATATTTTATTTTCACAGCATTGATAAACTGATCACGGAAATCCACATTCAGCAGGTTATTTAAGATTTCATAATTCATGCTTGAATTAATTTAAAAAACCAATAGTAAGTGCCATACTGTGTGCCAAGGACAAAGAAATAAATATGAATCCTGCCCTCAAAGTACTTTCTGGTGAGAGGGACAGACTAAAAATTCTAACAGTTACAGGGTAATGTATGAAGTACTACGATGGAAAGAAGCAAAGGGTGGCTTGGGAGCACTGGAGAAGGGTACTTAGGTCTAATGAAGAGATAGGTGATTTGTCAGGAAAGGATTTCTTACAAGGGAACACTAGAAGTGAGACTTAAAGGATACTTGGGGGTTACTACATAAAGAGAATAAAAGGCATTCCACACAGGAAGTACAGTGGGGGAGAAGACCCATGAATAACATGAAGGATTTGGGAAACAAGCAGTTCAGACTGACTAAAACGGAGGCACCATGGTGGGACATGGCAGAAGTCTAGGCTAGAGAGGAGTCGGACCACGAAAAAACTGTCTTTTGAGTGCCACCTTAAAGAAAGTGAACTTTATCCCTTAGAAGGGAAGTGTTTTAGTAGTTGGGATGATTCATAATTGGTTGAACAATTATACCCAAAAAGGCTTGATTGGTGGAGCTATGTCAACTTGGAGGGATGTCTCTAATGTTATGCTACAGAACCTTGGCTGGACCCAATTGTACTCAACAATTTACCTATAAAATTAATGTAGGGCTTCCCTGGTGGCACAGTGGTTGAGAGTCCGCCTGCCGATGCAGGGGACACGGGTTCGTGCCCGGGTCCAGGAAGATCCCACATGCCGCGGAGCAGCTAGGCCCGTGAGCCATGGCCGCTGAGCCTGCGCGTCCGGAGCCTGTTCTCCGCAACGGGAGAGGCCACAACAGTGAGAGGCCCGAGTACCACAAAAAAAAAAAAAAAAAAAAAAATTAATGCAGATATGATATGTTTAGCCAAAGCAGATAGCCGGTATAAAAGAAGAGTCCAAAGGTTCTTGACAGGCAGAAACAACTGAAGAAATTTTGTAAAATAGACACACTGTTGAGGATAATTATAAAAAGAGTTCCATGTTGAGAAAACTGGAGCTAGATATCTCCTGAGATCCCTTTACTTTTGAAATTCCGTGATTCTATTTCCAAAGAACATTGGTGCTCCTTTAAATACCTAAGTCTTCTAATTTGTTGAAGCTCATTTACTGGGCAATAATTTACATAAAAGCACCTAGGGTACCTGAAACACAGTAGATACTGTTTTTTTCTCTTTTTTTGTTTCTCTTTTTCTTTCTTCCCTTAGTCTGATTGAAAAATAGTTAAAGTAGGAAAGAATAAATCAAAGTAAGCCAGTCATGGTTGAGAGTCCGCCTGCCGATGCAGGGGACATGGGTTCGTGCCCCGGTCCGGGAAGATCCCACATGCCGCAGAGTGGCTGGGCCCGTGAGCCATGGCCGCTGAGCCTGCGCGTCCAGAGCCTGTGCTCCGCAAAGTAAGCCAGTCAGAGGTGAATGTTCACTTCATCCAGGACTTAAAGTATAGGAACTTTATAACATGTTTCATCAAATCTAAGACACCAGTAATTGCAAAACATTTTATGTACCACTAAGAAAAAAAAATGCTGTCAAGTACAGCTTAACACCTAGTAATTGTAAGATGTCCCAGTTTCAGAGATGTTAAAATGTGAAAAAAAGTCATCATAGAATTGATGAAACATGTCTTTTCATGAGGAGAAAAGGTAATGAGCCTCAGTACAACATTGGTCTTAAAAAGGGATTATTTCCTCAAACATTTAATAACAAAAAGGTATGCCATAATTATATAAGATACTCTTGATAATCCTTTGATAAGATACTCCTTTGATAATCAAAGTCTAATTTCTAGCATTATTTACCATTCTGGAAGTTCCCGAATCTGCCTTAAGTAAACATCTGATCTGCCAAGTCTTTAAAAATTGGTTTTAGTATAGTTAGGGAGTAGGCCTCAGAGGAAGCCAATCTAAAACTCAAAAGCTCATGAATAAATCTTTTTTCACTAGGATTTCTGAGTTCTATAGAATGATTACAAAAATGATTTCACTGGCAAACATTACAATGTAGATTTGAAAGACTTTTGTTGACTAAGTGGATATGAGGGGGAGAGGTTGGAGTCTAGGATGACTTCCAGGTTTCTAGCTTGAGCAACTCTCGGTGTTAGAAATATTCACTGAGATAAAAATTGGAAGAGAAAGGTACTTGGAGGAAGATAAGTATCAATACTCATCACCATTACACTCTAGATATCTCATTCAGGGAGGATATGATTTGCTATTCTCTACAGATCAAGATGGATGTACATGTTGTATCTCCATTAGTGATTACAGGATCATAAACAGAATTGGAAGAGATCTTAAAAATCACTTAGTTCGGGGCTTCCCTGGTGGCGCAGTGGTTGAGTCCACCTGCTGATGCAGGGGACACGGGTTCGTGCCCCAGTCTGGGAGGATCCCGCATGCTGCGGAGCGGCTGGGCCCGTGAGCCATGGCCGCTGGGCCTGCGCGTCCGGAGCCTGTGCTCTGCGTCGGGAGAGGCCACTGCAGTGAGAGGCCCACGTACTGCAAAAAAAAAAAATCACTTAGTTCATATCCACCTCCTCCTCTTATTCATCCCCCAAACCAGTGTTTGAATTCCCTTCACTCTTGTGAAATGATCATCCAGGGAGAATGAAATTGCTTAACCTCTCACTCTCGATTCCCACAACTGTAAAATGGAAATAATATTACCTACCTCAGAGAATTAAATCAGATAACAGATACAAAGCACTAGTGCCTAGCAAGTGTTCAGTAAGTAGGTCCTTAATAGATTATCAGCCTAAAAAGTGACAATATTGTACAGTTTGTAACCCATTGTGAAATTGATTGTGAAATCAATTTTAGTGTGCAGTGACCAGCAATTTAAAGAAGTGAAATAGAATACATGACATGTAATATGTGTATTATGTCATAAAACATTTGTTTCCCTGTAAATGTGGATATACATGTATATCTGTGCTCTGGGTCACAATGTGAAATGTATTACTGTGGGCCAGGTGGAAAAAAGTTTGAGAAACACTGTAACACACATGAGTTCTTTTCTTCCTTTGCTGATTTTTCGTGTTGAAAGCAGACCTTATTTTTAGAGAGATTATCCCTTTGTCAAAGCTTTAGAAACTATTAAGTACTGTATCTCTGTAAAATGTTTTTGTTTCGGCTCCCCGCATAATATCTGCTGAATAGAAGGTGTTAAATACACATTGGTTGAATCAGGAACCAGAAATAATATGAAAATATATAGAGACTAGAGGTTCTCAGTCTACTGGGTGATCAAAACTCCTTTGAGAAGTTGTTGCAAGTTTTGGACCCTCTTTCCAGAAGAACTCAAACACTCACAATTTTGCACGGATTCTAGAGAATTCCTTAAACTCCATCCATCGTCCTCTAAGGATCTATGATTCCTGAGAACCCGAAATGAAGATGTTTAATTTTAATTGATGACTGTGTGTTGAGGTCGAGAGCAGAAGAAGGCTTGGGATTAGATGGCTTTTTAAATTCTCCAACAAATCCTAGGATTATAAAACTGGTGCTGAAAGGGCACCACAGTTGTATGGGCAGAGATGGAAAGAAATGTGTACAGTCTGGTTCTATTAGTGTTCTGGTCAAAGAATAGTGGGGGCAACTTTAACTTTTTTTTTTTTAATTATTTATTTTTGGCTGCCTTGGGTCTTCGTTGCTTCTTGCGGGCTTTCTCTAGTTGCGGTGAGTGGGGGCTATTCTTCGTTGCGGTGCGCTGGCTTCTCATTGCGGTGGCTTCTCTTGTTGCGGAGCACGGGCTCTAGGCGCGGGGGCTTCGGTAGTTGTGGCTCTCGGGCTCTAGAGCTCAGGCTCAGTAGTTGTGGCGCACGGGGCTTAGTTGCTCCGCGGCATGTGGGATCTTCCCATACCAGGGCTCGAACCCGTGTCCTCTGCATTGGCAGGCGGATTGTTAACCACTGCGCCACCAGGGAAGTCCCAATTTTAACATTTCTTTTACACACGTTGTCATTTGAATGCCACGGTAGTCCTGTGATGATGAAACTGCAGTTCGGAGGGCCTTAATGATTCATCTAAAAGGATTCAGCTGGTATGCTCTGGAAAAGAGACTGCAAACAGCACGATCCTACAACTCCCAGGGGGAAGTTGGGTAGAGCAAACAGAGAAGGCGGAAGTGGGTGGAGCCGCCCATGCGTGCCGTTGCATCATCGCCGACGTCTCCGGTTTTCCTTTCGCAGCAACCCTTCTTTTCAGTCCAGTACGGTGGCCGACGGGAGCCAGGCGCTGGGGATGAATGAAGGTGCTCTGTGCAGGTTGAAGCAGTCTCCTCCGCTTTCCCCTCCCTTCAGCCCGGGCTGTGCCTTTGTGCGGTGTCCTCATCGAGCCCCCATCGCACCGCTGCCCCGATTGGTCCCGGCGACTGGGTTTTTGCTGCCCAGGTCGACTCAGGGCACAGGCAGGGCTGGGGAATCCGGATTATCGCCTAGGCCCAACTTTGGACAGCGCTCTAGATTTCTACCGCGTCCCGCCTCTAGTGCCGCCTCTAGGGCGCCGAATCCCCGTGGGGTACCGGGAGGTTGGAGGGTAGATTTTAAGGTATGAAGCTTTCACTTCTCAGGCGTCAGAGCGTTTCGGGGTCCATGTCCGCAACCTGCCCGACTTTTCTCAGCCAGAGGGATTGGTTGGTTCTCGTTACGCCCGGGGCCAGACCTATGAGCACACATGTCTTGGCGCCTCGGCTCTATCAGCCCGCCCCTCTGTTAAAAGGCCAGCTCCTTTTGCTTAAAAGCGAAACGCTTCTGCCCAGCCCTCTGTTACCCACGTTTCTGCTAGTCTGTGGGTCTCAAAGGGGATGGCTTTGGCGACCTGCTACTTGCTTTTTCTGTTTCTGATTGCTCTTGAAGACAGAGAAGTGCCCAAGTGGGACTCAGCTTTCTCCCACAGCTAATTGCACCTACACAGCTGGTTTTTTGTTTGTTTGTTACTAGTAACACAGGGGATATAGGATAGTGTTAAGGTCTCCAGGGCGTTATAACTGTCATAACTTCTGGCTAGTGAGGCGATTTACCAGTGCTTCCACCGACTCGTGGAGGGTGGGAAAGAGAAGCTTAACGGTTCTTCACATATGTTGGGTAGGCGTGTGAAAATAAAGAGGTACAAAAGGTGAGCGTCCTTAACTATGCTGTCCTTTTACTTGCATTGTGGCACTCATAGGACTGGTACAGTGGAGAAATTACTGGACTGGGATTTAGTAGATGAGGGTTCAGCCTTGGATTTTGCCACTGACTAGTAATACTCCTCTGGGCCTGTTACTTAATCTCTCTGGGTTTCATATTCCTTCTTTACAAAATGGGAGTATTAGAACAGAAGGTCCCTAAGTCTGAAAGAGGCATTAATATACTCTGTTTTCTTTCTCATTTTCCAGGTGGCAGTAGAAACATAGGGAGCCTTTAATTGTGCCAGGAATATTGCCAACATCAGGGCCTATTAAAGATAAACCACGTTTTTCAGAGGTTTTAAAAAGAGGGGAACTCATACATGTGGAGTTATACCCCTACTTTTTTTTTTTTAACCACTAGGATCAACAGTGATAATGACCGAGTGTACAAGCCTTCAGTTTGTCAGTCCTTTTGCTTTTGAGGCAATGCAGAAGGTGGACGTTGTTCGTTTGGCATCTTTAAGTGACCCAGAATTAAGACTTCTCCTGCCCTGCTTGGTGCGGATGGCACTTTGTGCTCCTGCTGACCAGAGCCAAAGCTGGGCTCAGGATAAAAAACTCATCCTTCGTCTTCTCTCTGGAGTGGAAGCTGTCAATTCCATTGTTGCTTTGTTGTCTGTGGACTTTCATGCTTTAGAACAGGATGCCAGCAAAGAACAGCAGCTTAGGTAATGTAATACTATATAATATGTGGATTGATTGGTATTTATTTCGATTTGCGTGAAAAGAGGGAATCAAATTTTTTTGGAGATTTTAGGGCTTCTTATTGCAGTGCGCTCTTCCAAAAAAGAGAAGATTGGGAATCTGAACTTTGGAGAGCATTTTTTTTTTTTTTTTTGCGGTACGCGGGCCTCTCACTGTTGTGGCCTCTCCCGTTGCGGAGCACAGGCTCCGGACGCGCAGGCTCAGCGGCCATGGCGTACGGGCCCAGCAGCTCCGTGGCTTGTGGGATCTTCCCGGACCGGGGCACGAACCCGTGTCCCCTGCATCGGCAGGCGGACTCTCAACCACTGCGCCACCAGGGAAGCCCTGGAGAGCATTTTTTAAAGTTATTTTTTATTTATAATTAAAATTCTAGGGTCTTTTGTATTTCTATTTTTTGTGGTACGCGGGCCTCTCACTGTTGTGGTCTCTCCCGTTGCGGCCTCTCACGTTGCGGAGCACAGGCTCCAGACGCGCAGGCTCAGCGCCCATGGCTCACGGACCTAGCCGCTCCGCAGCATGTGGGATCTTTCTAAGCCGGGGCATGAACCCGTGTCCCCTGCATTGGCAGGCGGACTCCCAATCACTGCGCCACCAGGGAAGGCCTCTAGGGTCTTTTGAATTCCATATTGTAAAATGTTGTGCTGAGAACTTTGGCTATATACACTGTTGTGCTCAGGCTAAACTGATTAGGCTAATTACTCTCAGTGGGAAGGGGGTAGGGTAAGTTCCCCTGGAGTAGAAGGATTTATTGGAATCTCCTGAGGGGCTTTTATTTTTATTTATTTATTTATTTTTTTTTTGGCTCTGCCACACAGCATGCAGGATCTTAGTTCCCTGACCGGGGATCTTAGTTCCCCAACCAGGGATGGAACCCCCACCCCCTGCAGTAGAAGTGCGGAGTCTTAACCATTGGACCTCCAGGGAAGTCCTGTAGGAGGCTTGTTAAGCTTGTACTGAGTCCCCCAAATTCTGGACATTTGTTTTGTCCTTCCTCCCCATTGTGGATCCAGTAGTGAGCCACTGTTGTTAATGGAAGTGGGTGTTAACTGTCAGTTGTAATGGAGTCTTTACACAGGTTGTGAATCTCTGAAATAGAAAAACAAAATATTTCAGAAGTAATACACTCATGAAATATATGAAAAGAATTCATATATTCTTTTGTAGATTATTTCTGTAAAAGGTCATTTTTATGCTTTTATTTCTGTGCCAGTGTTCTCATAATTGTTTTACACGTTTGTACTTTATTAGGCATAAACTTGGAGGAGGCAGTGGAGAGAGCATCCTGGTATCACAGCTGCAGCATGGACTGACTTTAGAGTTTGAACACAGTGATTCACCTCGTCGATTGCGTCTTGTGCTTAGTGAACTTTTGGCAATTATGAACAAGGTGCGTCTATTTTAATCACAGCTCAAAATATGCATGACTTGATGTCTACACATAGAAGGTAGAAACAGGCAAGAAGGCAGGCAGGTTGCATCCTCTCGTACACATATTTCTATTTGTTATGTAAGTGTCTTCCTTTCAAAGGCTTGAAAGGATATTAAATGCCTGCTTTTAAAGGCTGTTTCTAATTACTGTTTTCTCTAATTTATGCCTATTCTGCATTCTCTATCATAAGGTTTTTTTCTGTATGGAGTCCATTCAACGGCTTCTTGATATTTAGAAAGATATATAGCTCAAGAGTTGTATAAATGACAAAATTTGAAAATATCTCTATAGGATATAATTTCTCCCATAAAGTGTTGTGAAATATGTACGTGATTCCTAAAAAATGTGTGAGATTCCTTCAGATACTGACTGAATTATGTACCTCGTACGTAACGGTGACTGGGGAGTAGCAAAGCTGAACTGAACGTGGGATATTTGGCTAGCTTCACTCGCTAGGTGGCTGAACTGTTCCTGTGTACTAAAGAAGGCTATTCAACCTCTCATCTCAGAAAAATGATAGGTTACTTTCTTTCTTTCTTTTATTTAAAAAAATTTTTTAAGGGCTTCCCTGGTGGCGCAGTGGTTGAGAATCTGCCTGCCAATGCAGGGGACACGGGTTCGAGCCCTGGTCTGGGAAGATCCCACATGCCGCGGAGCAACTAAGCCCGTGAGCCACAACTACTGAGCCTGCGCGTCTGGAGCCTGTGCTCCACAACGGGAGAGGCCGTGACAGTGAGAGGCCTGCGCACCGCGATGAAGAGTGGCCCCCGCTCTCCGCAACTGGAGAAAGCCCTCACACAGAAACGAAGACCCAACACAGCTAAAAATAAAATAAATAAATTTAAAAAAACATGAGTTCCACATCCATAAAAAAAAAAAGTAAATGCTCAAAAAACACTATTTTTTTTAAAAAATTTTATTTATTTATTTTTGGTTGCATTGGGTCTTCGTTGCTGCATGGGCTTTCTCTAGTTGCGGCGATCGGGGGCTACTCTTCCCTGCAGTGTGTGGGCTTCTCATTGCGGTGGCTTCTCTTGCTGCAGAGCATGGGCTCTAGGCATGTGGGCTCAGTAGTTGTGGCACGCAGGCTTCAGTAGTTGTGGCTCATGGGCTCTAGAGCGCAGGCTTAGTAGTTGTGGCACTCGGGCTTAGTTGCTCTGCGGCATGTGGGATCTTCCCAGAGCAGGGCTCGAACCCGTGTCCCCTGCATTGGCAGGCAGATTCTTAACCACTGCGCCACCAGGGAAGTCCCTATTTATTTATTTTTATTGAAGATTTGCAATGTTATATTAGTTTTGGGTGTACATAGGTTACTTTAGGTCATGGACTTTTGGGTGATAATGGTTAATTGAAACTCTGAATTTTAAATTTGTGAATGTTAGGAGTTATCATACAGAGAACTAAATTGGATCTTCATATTAAGATGTCTTATATAAGATTGGGCCCAGAGTTTGAGAAGCAAATGTTTTGTACTTTGAGAATCTCAAGGTTAGTTAATTTATAATAAATAAAGTTTAGTTTTATCAATTGTGGACCAAAAAAACCTAAATTCTGTTTCCAAAGAAAATGCTGATGGGGGGGGCGGATTTAGTTAGTTCTAGATAGTTTTTAAGATGTGTTACAAATCTTAATTTTTTTTTCTATTACAAAGTTATTTACTTCAGCTCTTTTCTACTATACTGTTAGTCTTTAATTTTTTCTTTTTCTTTTATTTTTGATTTTTCTTATTTTTTTGGTCACACCATGTGGCTTCCAGGCTCTTAGTTCCCTGACCAGGGATCGAACCCGGGCCATCAGCAGTGAAAGCACAGAGTCCTTACCACTGAACTGCCGGGGAATTCTTGACAGTCTTTAATTTTAACTAATATTTTCCTACATCTTTTTCTTAATACTGTACTTGATGCCTCTAATGAAATAAGTGACCTGCCTCCTCTGAGCGGTTTCCAGTTTTTCAGTTCAGCACCCTTCAGCATATGGGAGATGTAGCAATGAAACTTCTGTAGGAAATTTTCAGAAAAGCTGGTTGGTACTTTTGATGACCTAAATTTTTATTCTTTGTTTTTCCCACACTTCATTTAGAACATGAATTTATAGCTGTTATACTGCTTTAAGTTTATAGTTTTTTAGCTTTTTTTTGAACTACAACTTATGTAGGTAGCATTCTTAGTTCATTTCTTTGGCTTGTCTTATCTTTAATTCCAGATGTCTCCAAATATTTGTATAGATATAAATTATCAAGACTCATATTGCGTGTCTGGAATAACAATGTGACTTGACTAATTGTGGTTAAATTGGTACGTTCATCCAGTACTGCATATTCTACTGTAGTATATTAATGACTTATTAAGAGACATGGTCTGTAAGCTCAAAAAATAATTACAAAAATAGTAAGGGGTCTAATTCATTACCTGAAATTAAGAGAGTTCATCATTTCTTTTTTCTTTCTTTTTTTTAAAGGTATCTGAGTCCAGTGGAGAATTTTTTTTCAAGTCATCTGAGCTATTTGAGAGTCCAGTCTATTTGGAGGAAGCTGCAGATGTACTTTGTATTTTACAAGCAGGTACTATAATGAGTGCTAAGATAAATTTCAGATATAGTTTCTTGTTAAATGATACTGTGTAACTTCTTAACCTGGAGTGTTGTGCTATTTTAAGGTTCACCTAATTAAGAATGTACCTTAAAAGTTTAGGTCAAAAATGACTAATAGTAGGACAATGATTAAGTAAATTATATTATTTCCATAGTATAGCATACTGTGCAGCCATTAAAGTGGTATATTTGAAGAAATTTAATAATTTAGGAGAATGTTCACAATATGTTAAATGAAAAAAGCAAGTGGCAAAATGGTAAGTAGAATATAATCCCAGTTTTGTTAAAAGTAATACCCATAGGGGGATTAAAATAAAATCTTTCAAATTACTAACTTTGAGTGATGGGATTAGAGCTGATTTTATTTATATTCTTTGCACTTTTTGTATTTTCTGGGCTCTTTATAATAGGTATGCATGATCAGAATTAAAAGATAGAGGACATAAAAATGCAGAGAAAATTTTCATGAAAGTAACTCTTTTGACCAACACTGTCCACCACAGCGATGACAGTGTTCTGTGTTGTGCTGTCTAGTACAGTAGCCACTAGCCACATGTGGTTATGGAGTACTTGAAATGTGGCTAGTGTGATTGAGGAATGAAACTATTTTTAATTTAATTTGATTTTAATTTAAATAGTCACATGTGGCTACTGGCTATCCTACTGGACAGTTCAACTCTAGACTATGAAAAGAAAGTACTTTAATTACTTTTAAAATGACATTGGTGAAATGTCAAAACATGTTTAATGTATGATACAATGAAATATCCCTCCTTAGTAGTAACACTGATTTTGTTTTCTTATAGAGCTCCCATCCCTGCTTCCTATAGTTGATGTAGCTGAAGCCTTGCTCCATGTTAGAAATGGTGCCTGGTTCTTGTGTCTGTTGGTGGCCAATGTTCCTGATAGTTTTAATGAAGGTAAATGTAATTTTAAAATGGGATATTGAAGAGATTTGCTTGGGCATGTACAGGACCTTTTTTTTTTTTTATAAATTTATTTATTTTTGGCTGCGTTGGGTCTTCTTTGCTGTGTGCAGGCTTTCTCTAGTTGCTGCATGTGGGGGCTACTCTTCATTATGGTGTGTGGTCTTCTCATTGCGGTGGCTTCTCTTGTTGTGGAGCACGGGCTCTAGGCTTGCGGCCTTCAGTAGTTGTGGCACGCAGCCTCAGTAGTTGTGCCCCGCGAGCTCTAGAGCACAGGCCCAGTAGTTGTGGCACACGGGCTTAGCCGCTCCTTGGCATGTGGGATCTTACCAGACCAGGGCTCGAACCCATGTCCCCTGCATTGGCAGGCGGATTCTTAACCACTGCACCACCAGGGAAGTCCCTAGGACCTATTGTTTGAGCTAAGAAGAAACACTTATAGGGTTTTATTTGAGATTTTATTTTTTGAAAATTTATTAGTGCGTATTCATTGTAGAAATGCTGAGTTTAGAGAATTCAAAATTGTTTTGAGGTTACAGATTTAAGTACAGTGAGTATGCAGCCAAATTTTTTTTTTTTGGCCATTCGTCACCAGTGCTATAATAGGGAAGTAAAAAATACTGAAGAAATAGAATATATAATCCCTGTGTTCCATGAACAAAGGGGAGAGAACATATATCTGTGAAATAGCCAAAGAGCAGTACGAGATATACGTAATCAGAAATACCAGCAATCAGACCTTTATTTTTTAGCCTTATTGCTATCAGCTTGCAGAAAAGTATAGGGTAGAAATTGAGAAAAATCAACTGAAATTTTCACCACTATTTCAAACTGCTAGTGACTGAAGATTGTTGTTTGGGTCTGAGTGAAATAAAAATTACATTTATTGAGCAAGGTAATTCGTGAATTGAGAGTCATGCAGAAAAAGATGCTGGATCTGGGGCGCATAATTTCTTTTTTTTTTAAAAATAAATTTATTTATTTATTTTTATTTGTTTATTTTTGGCTGCCCTGGGTCTCTGTTGCTGTGCGCGGGCTTTCTCTAGTTGCAGCGAGTGGAGGCTACTCTTTGTTGCAGTGCGCGGGATTCTCATTGTGGTGTCTTCTCTTGTTGCGGAGCACAGGCTCTAGGCACGTGGGCTTCAGTAGTTGGGGCACGCAGGCTCAGTAGTTGTGGCTTGCGGGCTCCAGAATGCAGGCTCAGTAGTTGTGGCACACGGGCACAGTTGCTCCGCGGCATGTGGGATCTTCCGGGACCAGGGCTTGAACCCCTGTTCCCTGCATTGGCAGGCAGATTCTTAACCGCTGTGCCACCAGGGAAGCCCTGGGGGGCATAATTTCTAACCTTGTCACTCACTCTTTGTGTGATCTCCATCAAGATACTTAACTTCTCATTTGAAAAATGGAGGTATTGATAATATTTCCCTTTTGTTTCTAAGAGATTTACTGAATATTACACGATAGGTTTAGGTTGACCTTTCAGCTCTTTAAAGATGTCATTCTGTTGTCTTTGGTATTTTTATCTTTATTCCTTTGTACAGGTTCCTTTTTTTCCTCTGGCTACTTTTATTTGTTTATTTTTTTTTTTATCCCTTCTGGCTACCTTTAAGATGTTCTCTTTATCACTGGTTTTCAGAGATTTGATTATGATGTGTCTTGGTATGATTTTCTTAGTGTTTATCCTTCTTGGGGTTTATTGAACTTCCGGGTTTTTAGTTTTCATCAAGTTTGGAAAAATTTCTTCAAATATATATATTTGTCTTTCATTCCCTTTTTCTGAGACATTACAAGTATGTTTGACTATTTGATGTTCCACAGGTCACAGTTCATTTTTTTGAGTCTCTTTTCACTCTTGGCTTTATTTTGATCAGTTTCTATTGCTATGTTTTCAAGTTTCTAATCTGCATAAATGAGCGATTCTCAAGACTGAAAAAATTGTTTCTGATATCCTACTTACAAAGCTTAAGGTAATAGAGCCTATTAAATGTTCAGTTTGTAGGGGCCTGATCAAAAATGGAGAACGACAAGATGAAGAGAGTCTTGGAGGAAGGCGGAGGACGGATGCCTTACGCTTCTTATGTAAAATGAATCCTTCTCAGGCCCTGAAGGTCCGAGGCATGGTGGTAAGAGATCTTATTATTTTTCTGAGATAAAAGCCTTTATATTAGGACCAGGAACTCTTCTCAAGATGGTTTTAGAATATTATAGAGATTTGGATTTATAGTTATAGACTATTACCTTCTTCTCTGGGTTTTTATGTTTTGTGTTATGTCCTCCCCTAAACTTTAGATGCTTTAGATTCTGGCTCATCCTGGCCCTTTTCCTTATGATACTGAATTCAGTTTGTTTTCTTTGCTCTGTTAGGTGGAAGAATGTCACTTGCCAGGTCTTGGAGTGGCTTTGACCTTGGATCATACTAAAAATGAAGCTAGTGAAGACGGAGTGAGTGACTTGGTTTGTTTTGTTAGTGGTTTACTTCTTGGAACAAATGCGAAAGTCCGGACTTGGTTTGGAACTTTTATCCGAAATGGACAGCAGGTGAGGGAGAAATACGTGTATAGACCAAGGATCAGGCTATTTTAGTAGTTAGTAAGAGAGGAAGAAACACTTTTAGAATGATGTCATTAAGTCCGTGGTTCTCAAACTTCTTAGTCTCAGGACCTCCTAACATTTAAAATAAATCATTGAGAACTCCAAAGAGCTTTTGTATGGGCTTTTTTTTTTTTTTTTAATTTAATTAATTTATTTTTGGCTGTGTTGGGTCTTTGTTGCTGCATGCAGGCTTTCTCTAGTTGCGGCGAGCGGGGGCTACTCTTCGCTGTGGTGTCTGGGCTTCTCATTGCTTTGGCTTCTCTTGCTGCACAGCATGGGCTCTAGGTGCATGGGCTTCAGTAGTTGTGGCACGTGGGCTCAGTAGTTGTGGCTTGAAGGCTCTAGACTGCAGGCTCAGTAGTTGTGGCGCACAGGCTTAATTGTTCCACAGCATGTGGGATCTTCCCAGACCAGGGCTCGAACCCGTGTCCCCTGCATTGACAGGCGGATTCTTAACCACTGCGCCACCATGGAAGTCCCTGTATAGGATTTTATCTATTGATATTTACCATACTAGAAATGAAAACTGCAGTTTTTGAAATGTTTATTTATAATTCATTGAAAAATAACAGTAATAATCTCATTAAATGTGACTATAACATACTTTTTTAATGAAAAATAACCATATTTTCCAAAACAAAAATTTACTGAAAAGAGTGGTATCATTGTGCATTTTTGCAAGTCTCTTTAATGTCTGGCCTTTGGAAAAACTGCACTGTATACTTGTGGGAAAATGAGTGAAAAAGATCTGTAATGTTAAGGAAATATTTTTGACCTTCTGGACCCCCAAAAGAATATTGGTAATCTCCAGGTTTCTGGGTCAGCCACGTGAGAACTGCTACGTGAGGTTGCTACATTAGGTCATCAATACAAGTTGTTATTGTAGTCTGTAATTTTAATATGTGTGTGTATATTATTATTATTATTATATTATTGTGGTAAAATATACATAATGTAAAATTTACCATTTGAATCATTTTTAAGTGTACAGTTCAGTGACATTAAGTACATTTACAGTGTTGTGCAACCAACATCACTATTCATTTTGAGAACTTTTTCATCATCCCAAACAGAAACTCTGTACCCATTAAACAATAATTTCCCATTCCTCCTTCCTCCCAGCGCCTAGTAATCTCTTTTCTACTTTCTGTTTCTATGAATTTGCCCATTTTAGGTACCTCGTATAAGTGGTATTTCTCTTTTTGAGTTTGGCTTATTTTCCTTAGCATAATGTTTATTTTATTTTTGGCTGCATTGGGTCTTTTTTGCTGTGCGTGGGCTTCCTTTAGTTGCGGCAAGCGGGGGCTACTCTTCATTGTGGTGTGCGGGCTTCTCATTGTGGTGGCTTCTCCTGTTGCAGAGCATAGGCTCTAGGTGCGCGGGCTTCAGTAGTTGCAGCGCGTGGGCTTAGTTGCTCCATGGCATGTGGGATCTTCCCGGACCAGGGCTCGAACCCGTGTCCCCTGCTTTGGCAGGGGGATTCTTAATCACTGCACCTCCAGGGAAGCCCCTAGCATTATGTTTTTAAGGTCCATGCATGTTGTGGCATGTGTCAGAATTTCCTTCCTTTCTAAGGCTAGTATTTTATTGTATGTATCTGCTACGTTTATCCATCCATCTATTGATGAATATATATTATATTTTGCAACAGTTTTTAACTTGCAAAATATTATACTTTTTCAAAAAAACATCTCATGGTAACTCTGTGAATAGAGTCCTGTCCCTACGAAGAAACTAATGCAGAATGGTTTTTAACTTGTTGAGGTCAGTGAGCTTGACAGTAACATGTATACTGCTTAGACCCTTCTTCAGTCTTTTTTTTTTTTTTTTTTTTTTTTGTGGTACGTAGGCCTCTCACCGCTGTGGCCTCTCCCGCCGCGGAGCACAGGCTCCAGACGCGCAGGCTCAGCGGCCATGGCTCACGGGCCCAGCCGCTCTGCGGCATGTGGGATCCTCCTGGACCGGGGCACGAACCCGTGTCCCCTGCATCGGCAGGTGGACTCTCAACCACTGTGCCACTAGGGAAGCCCCCAGTCTATTTTTTTTATGCCATGAATTCACCATACTTTTCTGTATCCAAGTTTTACTTTACTTCTAGCCCATTTGAAAACTAATTTTAAACTTTGCTTTTGAAAAGGAAGTGAATGTTTCTGGTATTCCTTCTATATGTCAGGCACTGTGCTAAGCACCTGGTATGATCCGCTTGTTTGTAATTGTTCTTTGTGTGCAATAAACTTTTCTTATTTGAACCTTATATCATTAATAAAACAGGCTTACCATATTTTACTTTGAAACACTCTAAAAATAATAACTAACTTTTGCCTAGTCCTTTACAGTTTAGAACTGCTTTCATATTTATTATCTTTGTTCGTTCATCTATTTAACAAATATTGAACGCTTGCTGTATGTCAGGCACAATATGTCAGGCCCTGATGAGTAAGAGATGACTGGACATTATCCCTGCCTGAAGAACTGGGGTGGGGGGTAGACTTGTAAACTCCTAATTAGAGCACTCCTGGGAGTTAAATATTATTAATAAGATATTCATTTTCTTGTCATTTAAGACAAGGGGTTCAGAGAGGTTAACTTATATGCCTAAAAGTACATAATCAATTAATAGCAGAGCTTTTGTTTCCACTCAAGCCCTTGTGTCTTCACAATCTGAGCACTTTGTACATATGACTCCACTAGTCATTATGTATTTGAAAGCATCATTTATATGATGTTTTACATCTCAAGTTGTTATTAATTTAGTATTTTCTGTACAACCAGTCCAAATTAGGGTGAGTAGAGTATTTGTCAAATCCACGGAATTTGCTGGATGGATTAAAATGAGATTCTGCAGTTATGATAGCCTCAGCCTCCTCAAATGGATCAGTTTCAAGTGTTTAAGTGGAGAGCTTTGTTTGAACTTCCTTCTGACTTAGTAAGTGCTCCATGCTTTCTTCCTTTTGTGGCCCATATTTTTCCCTTACAGAGAAAAAGAGAGACCAGTAGTTCTGTCCTTTGGCAAATGAGAAGGCAGCTTCTTCTGGAGTTGATGGGCATTCTTCCCACAGTAAGAAGTACCCGCATTGTGGAAGAAGCTGATGTGGAGATGGAGCCCAATGTGTCTGTGTATTCGGGGCTGAAAGAAGAGCATGTTGTGAAAGCCAGTGCACTCTTACGTCTGTACTGTGCTTTGATGGGGATCGCTGGACTCAAGTATTCAATAATTTGATATTTTACCTTTTTGTCATTTTACTTTCTTGTTTCTAATCCCAAGAAAGTGAGCCACAGGCCTTTTATTCAGAGGATTTGGGTTTTCTATTGGGCTTAGGTAGTGAGCTCGCCTATATCAAGAATGAAGGCCTCAGGCAAACATTCCTAGCTGGGATTTATCCATCTATTTTGGTCTGATTGTAAATAGAACTATGTAAATATGGGAGGAGCGAGAGCAGTTTAAGAAACCTATGACTCTACCCACAGCTTGACATGACTATCATGAGCGATCTGTGAGTTATCCTTTACCTAGCCCATGCAGCTAGTTGAAGTAAATGTGTTCTGTGTTTCCTTTTACAACTGAGATCATAGATTGTTTAAAATTGATATGATGCGATTATTAAGCACGAGATTTCTTAGTCACTGGACTACATCCTTTTGAATACTGTCCTCAACTGTTATACATATAGTCCTCACTTTGCATGTCTCTGTTAACATGAGTTTCAGTTACCACACTTTAGTTAAATAACACTGCTCCCTCAACAACTACCATGATACATTAACCAAATTATTGTATAAAGTACAAACTTTGCTGAGAGCTTTTTAAGCCACAAATCACTGTGTAAATAAAAGAGGCACATCATGAGCAGTGACCAATCACATCATTTCTTTTAAAATCTTTCAGTAACTAGTCAATGTACAAGTATTACTCAGTTCATGAACAGACAGCAAAGTGAGTAGTAGTATCATCTCCTTGTCTCTCAGTGAATAAACCCATGTGATATTTTACAGAAATGGATAATTGAAAGAGGGAATTGGCCAATAAAAATGAAAGTGTAGCAAAGAAAGTAGTTAACGCTGGAAGTGACATTTGAGCCAAACGTAAATAGAAGAAACAGCTGACTGTGAGAATGTTGACAGTGCTGCCATTTGAGAGACCCTAGATACGTAGCCAGGTGAACTTAGTGAAGACGAACTTGAGGAAAGTCATTGTGACAAAAAGGATGAAGACCCAGAGGACTGATGCTGACAAAAATCTTCACATTAAAGGAATTCTCAGATATTTCATGACTGGAAGTACAAAGGATAAAATATTGGAAGCTGATCCAAACTTAGAAGGGGGTATGATAATTCATCAAGGCTTAGAGAAGATGCTCACTCCATATTATAAGTTATACAATGAGAAGATGGCAAGGGCTGTTCAAACTACTCTTGATAAATCTTTTACAAAGAAAACACTTTAATTCCCAATGTTTCTAACATATCCAATTATAGAATGCTGTATAAATATTAGTTTTACTATTTAAAAAAATTTCCCTATTCATTGTAACCAACAGAGTTTTTAATGTCCTGACAAAAATTTTAAAAGTTGTGGAACAGCTGTAATTTTCCCCATTGATTATTAAGATCTTGATGCAGTTTCAGCTTGCATCGTTATTTTTATGGTCCCACACTACTGTGCAAAGTGGGGACTACCTGTATTTGTGTCTGAGGAAAAACACTGGTTGTGAATTCAACAGTTTTGCTTTTGACGTCTTAAGATATTAAAGATTTTATAAATAGTGAGGTACATTATAAAGCTCAAGATTTGTATCTGAAAGGTTAAACTGTTGAGAAGTCCCTTCTTCCTTCTCTCAACTGAAAAAAGCAAAACCTAATAATGTATTCCTTTTTTAGACCAACTGAGGAAGAAGCTGAGCAATTACTGCAGTTGATGACAAGCCGTCCTCCTGCCACACCAGCTGGGGTTCGCTTTGTTTCACTTTCCTTTTGTATGCTCCTGGCCTTTTCTACACTTGTCAGGTACCCAACTATATAATTGTACTATTTTCTCAAGGTCTGCTTTTGTTTATTTATTAAAACACATGTATAAAATTAATTAGGAGCTTACTACAAAATGGTCTAAGATAGGGACATTGGTATTATTTAATAAAGGGATATCAGTAGCATCTCTTGTATGCCAGTTATTTTATTTGTCTTTATCAAAGTTTCATGTACACATTGTTTAAAGGAGTCAAAAGAGTTCTTCAAGATTTGAGGCAAATTGTAGTCCTTATTCCCCCCTCTCCCTGTTTCCCCTTCCCTAGAAGCAGCTTCTTTCAGTTCTTTCAGCTGATTCTTTTGGTTTTTACTACCACATCTTTATTAACATGTTTGTATTTGCTACATCCTGATTTTTCGTTTTAGGAGTATTTGTTGACTTCCCACTATGAGAATAAGGAATTAGTTCTCTCTTTTCTCTCTGTCCTCAACATATCTACACATCCTTTCTATCTTCCCATTCTCCCAGTACAGTTATTATTTTGCTTTGAGCAATACATAGTTGTTTATGTTACACTATTGGAAGCTCAACCAAGCAGTAGATGATTACTTTTCTTTTGCAAAACTTGTTTCTCCATTAATAATTATCCTGTGTTTTTGTTCTTTGTTTTTCATTTGCTCTGTATTTTGTGTGCTTACATTAATGCGATCTCAAACTCTCTGCCAATCTAAACCTCCTCTCAAGATGTTCAGACTCATTAGATATTCTGCCAGTTTCATTTTCTTGAGGAAATCTCTCCTGGAACATTTTGACCTCCCATCTGAACTGGCTACCTCTGTACCTGGTACACAGCTCTCATCTGGGAATTGCTCTTCACTATTATTTTGGGGACTTGCTTCAGCTGTCCTTTGTTGGGTCTTCTGTTTCCTGCATCTTATGTCTCCATCTTTTTACTTTTTTCTTTTATTTATTTATTTAGTTATTTATTTGGCTGTGCCAGGTCTTAGTTGAGGCACTCGGGATCTTCCTTGTGGCATGCGGTATCTTTAGTTGCAGCACGTGGGATCTTTAGTTGTGGCATGTGAGATCTTTTATTTGCAGCATATGGGATCTAGTTCCCTGACCAGGGATCGAACTGTGCCCCCTGCATTGGGAGCATGGAGTCTTAACCACCGGATTACCAGGGAAGTCCCTCCATCTTTTTAAATTTCCTCCCTCATTTTGCTTCTTTAGAATGGGTATGTGAGAGGTAAATTATTTTAAGACTGGGTATGTCTGAAAATGTCTTTATTCTGCTTTGACACTTGATTGATAGTTTGATGGGGTATAGAATTCTAAGTTGGAAATAATTCCCTTTGAGGATTTTGAAAGTCTTGCTCTATTGTCCTCTAACTTCCAATATTACTGTTGAGAAATCTGATGACATTCTGATTCCTGGTCCTTTTTGTGGCTTGTTCTTTTTAAATATGGAGTCATGTAGGATTAGCCTTTTGTCCCTAGGGTTTTTTGTTTTGTTTTGTTTTGTTTTGTTTTTGCGGTACGCGGGCCCCTCACTGTTGTGGCCTCTCCCGTTGTGGAGCAACAGGCTCCGCACGCGCAGGCTCAGCAGCCATGGCTCACAGGCCCAGCCGCTCCGTGACATGTGGGATCTTCCCGGACCGGGGCACGAACCCATGTCCCCTGCATCGGCAGGTGGACTCTCAACCACTGTGCCACCAGGGAAGCCCTGTCCCTAGGGTTTTGAAATTTCTGGATGATATGCCTTTGTATGGGTCTGTTTTGTCTTTCATCTTAGGTTTTTTTTTTTTTTTTTTTTTGGCCACGCCACATGGCTTGTGGGATCTTAGTTCCCCTTATCCTAGGTATTTAGTTAGCCTTTTTAACCTGGGAACTCACAGTGTTCAGTTCTAGGAAATTTTCTTGAACTAGTTTGTTGGTAATGTCTACCACATGGGTTTTCTCTGTTTGAAACCTCCTCTTATTTGGATATTGGACTTCCTAAAATTATCATCTTATTTTCTTATTCTTTCTTATTTTCCTTATCTTTGTCTTGTTCTGCATTTTAAAAAACAGCTTTATTGAAACACAATTTACATACCATAAAATTCACCCATTTTAAAGTGTACAACTTAATAAACAATATAATAGTTTTTAGTATATTTACAAAATCATGCAGCCATTACCACAATGTAATTTTAGAACATTTCAGTCACCTCAGAAAGACACTGCCTATACTGCCTTTTAGGATTTGTTCTCAACCTTGTCCTCTAATCCTATTCAGTGTTTAATTTCTAAGAGCTCTTTTTTATTCTGATCTTTTTTTTTTTTTTGCGGTACGTGGGCCTCTCACCGCTGTGGCCTCTCCCACTGCGGGGCACAGGCTCTGGACGCGCAGGCCCAGCGGCCATGGCCCATGGGCCCAGCTGCTCCGTGGCACGTGGGATCCTCCCGGACCGGGGCACGAACCCGCGTCCCCTGCATCGGCAGGCGGACTCCCAACCACTGCGCCACCAGGGAAGCCCTGTTTCTTTTTTATACTGTCTACTGCTTCATCGTGGCATGGTTTCTCTGATATTAATCAAAATGATGGAAGGGGTTTTACTTGTTCTGTTTCTTTTCTCTAAGTTTCTTTTTTTCTGCCTTTTCTTGTTCTATATTTTTCAAGTTAGAAGCTTTTTTTCAAGTTTCGTAATTCTTGATTGTCTGTTCATATTTAAGAGTGGGAAACTAAAAAGCAGGTTAGAACTTCTGAATGCATAGATGGGAAACTCTTGGGCTTTTCAGAGTCTTAGAGAAGACTATTGTCTTGCTTGGGGAGTGGAGGCCTATAAATAAAGTGAGGGTTAAGGGCTGGGATGTCTCAGACTGCAGTATAAGCATTCACATAATTCTTCTACTTTCAGAAAGGTGCTCTAGATATCCCTGATTGTCCGTCAGTTCAGAGACACCCTCTTTTACTATATCCAGAGAATAGATCTCTAGTCTCCTCTCTACTGGGGGATGGGTATTCATCTAGGTGTGTAGAATGGAGGTGATTTGGAGGTCTACTGCTCATATAGACTGTCTATATTTAGTTTCTGTCTTCATTCTCACTCCCAGAACTGCCTGGAGTTGTCAGTTTCTGAGGCCTTTGGGGATTCTGTGGTGTAAGTGGTAGATTGGTTTTCCCACCTGTCAGTTTAGTATTCTGCCTTCTCGGGTCTGCTAAGTCAGTTATCACTCATCTGTATTGGCTCTGTCTTCCAATATTTTGTGTTGTTGTCCCTCATCATCATCCTATGCATTTATGCCTTTTAAGAAAATCCCTTTAATGTAGTTTGAATTGTGTGTTTCAGGAAGGTATGAAATTAAGTACGTGAAATGAAGTACTTTCTTTTCTCTTTACCTGAAGTAGTTTCTTGCTTTTTTAAAAAATTTATTTTATTAAATTATAATTGATTTACAATGCTGTGTTAGTTTCTGGTGTATAGCAAAGTGATTCAGTTTTATATATATATATAAAACCTAAAGTAATTTCTAAGCATTGTCTCTAATCCTCATTACTTCTGTAAGGTGGGTATTTTTATCTTTATATTATACATAGAAAAGCTAAAGTTCAAAAAGATTATTTAAATTTCTTGTTCAGGGTCACACTAACAGTGATTAGCAGAGATGGGATTCCCACTCCGATCTGGCAGGCTCTAAAGCTGTAATCTTTCTACTACATAACACTGTCTTTTATTAGTGGAATGATTTAGGTGTGGTTGAGAGTAACCTTTTTAATTTTCTTAGCTTTGGGTAGCAGGCTTTGTAGTTGCTTTTCGTTTTACCTGTTTACACTGCAATGAAGTAGAAGGAGATCAATGAAAATTATTTTTAAAAATCATAATTATTCCCTTTAAACAAGTCATTCTTGTTGGTATGTTTTTATAACCATTTTTCATATCTGATGAGCCCCTGCCTGTTTCTTTTTACTTTTTGAATAGTGATCACTTTTTTCTCTGTCATTTTGAGTTCTGCTCAAAATGCTTCTATAAACTAAATTTCATTTTCCAGGTAAAAGATGGTCTGAGTTATTACTGTCCTTGTACTCAGTTTGTGACTTTTTGATGATTAAGTTTTAACACTAGATTTTTTTCTATATGAAATAAGTATCAGCTGTTAGTATGTACAGTTATCCTAACATTTTAATCCCAAAGGACCTTTGTTTTTCCAAGGAATGTGAGGACGTTTACTCTCTCCAACCTTCAAATGCAGTAACTGAGACTTTGAGAGGGTTTGACTATTCATATTCATAGAGAAAAGTAAAGGTTCTCATTCTTCTTTTGTAGAACTGCTTCATATCTCAATGACAATTAATGGCCAATTCAACAAGCCATTATTTTGAGGAAAAAATAATTTCTACCAAAAATAATTCCAGAATGATGTTTTATTCTTATGCTAGTATATCTGACTTAAACCAGTGACTTCTGATATGTTTTATATAGTACGCCTGAACAGGAGCAGCTAATGGTAGTGTGGCTAAGTTGGATGATAAAAGAAGAAGCTTATTTTGAAAGGTAAGACGACTTTTTGTTTCAGTTAGCTAAGTAAGTTTTTCTTATCCCTTTCTTTGGAAATTCATATTTTCTTTTCTGTTTCAACAGTACTTCAGGTGTCTCTGCTTCTTTTGGGGAGATGTTATTGTTGGTTGCTATGTACTTTCATAGCAACCAACTTAGTGCTATCATTGACTTGGTCTGTTCTACTTTGGGGATGAAGGTAATTTTTTTTATCTTCTTTCTAAAGACGGTGTTTCTAAGCTGGACATTTTCTTGTAATGTTAAGTAAATAGATTGTTTTCATTTTGAAATAATTTTAGTTGTTTAATAGTTTGAAACTATCAAGAGCTCTTAGGAAAAAATACATTATGAAAACACTATTCACAAGAATAATAGGTGTTCTATGTAGAAAACTTAGAAAACACAATAAAGAAGGGAAAGATATAATTCCATGTTCAGAGATATCAGGTACTGTTAATAGTCTGGTATCTGTTCTTTCTTTAAATTGATATACATATTTTGTAATTTTAATGAATTTACCAATATATGATAAGTACTTCCTCATATAAGTAATAATTATAATAAAAAATATTATAATTTTTTTATTGTGTATTTTTTTTGCGGTACGTGGGCCTCTCACTGTTGTGGCTTCTCCCGTTGCGGAGCACAGGCTCCGGACGCGCAGGCTCAGTGGCCATGGTTTACGGGCCCAGCCGCTCCGCGGCATGTGGGATCTTCCCGGACTGGGGCACAAACCCGTGTCCTCTGCATCGGCAGGCGGACTCTCAACCACTACGCCACCAGGGAAGCCCTAATTTTTAATGGCTGCATTGTAGTTCATCATATGGACCGATCATGATATTCTTAATGGATCTTTTCTTATTTGCCATGTAGATTTTCCAGTTTCTGAATAATGCTTAGATGAATATCCTTATGTATGTAAATATACGCACAGGCACTCATACATGTATATCTTCAAACACTTTTTGGATTATTAGGATGAAGTTCTAGAAAGCAGTACTAAGTAAAAGTATGGTGATGTTAAGCTGTTTAATGTGTATTGCCATATTATCTTCCAGAGAGATTATACCAGTTTAACTGTTCTCATTAGTGAATGAGAGTGCCTATTTTCCTAAACTCTCACCATCACTGGGCATTACCATTCTTTTTAATCTTTGCAAATATGGTGAAAAATCATCTTACTTATTTTGCATTTCTTTGATTACTAGTAAAACTATGGTTATTATTTTTTATAGTTACAGTTTATATAGAAGTTTTTTTGGGTAGTTTTAAAAAATCTATGTGTTTTAGCTGGTTTATTTCTTTTGTGAAAGGCTTATTGATGTCCCAGTTTTTCTATAGGGATTTTTATTGATTTATTTTTCCTTTTAGTGATTCAGAAGGGCTCTTTATATGTAAATGATATGCTCTTATGCCATATATAGCATATTGGGTTGGCCAAAAAGTTCCTTTGGGATTTTCTATAACATCTTATGGAAAAACCCGAAGGAACTTTTTGGCCAACCCAATATTTCATTGCTTTCAAGACATATTTTACCCAATATTGAAACTGGGATTCATTTCACAGTTGATGTGTAATGTTAATGTGGTAGTGTTTCACCTCTTTTTTTCTTGAAAAGCTACTATTAAATCTGTGGTGCATCTTATAATCCTTATTGTCTTTAAAAGTGGAGAAGTACAGGGCTTCCCTGGTGGCACAGTGGTTGAGAGTCCGCCTGCCGATGCAGGAGACACGGTTCGTGCCCTGGTCCGGGAAGATCCTACATGCCGCGGAGCGGCTGGGCCCGTGAGCCATGGCCACTGAGCTTGCGCGTCCGGAGCCTGTGCTCCGCAACGGGAGAGGCCACAACAGTGAGAGGCCTGCGTACCGCAAAAAAAAAAAAAAAAGAAGTG